ATCCCTTTCTCTCTCTCTTCTTTTTCTGGTACTCCTATGATGCGAATATTATTCCTTTTGGATTGGTCACACAGTTCTCTTAATATTCTTTCATTCCTGGAGATCCTTTTATCTCTCTCTGCATTAGCTTCTCTGCGTTCCTGTTCTCTGTTTTCTAGTCCATTAATGGTCTCTTGCATCTCGTCCATTCTGCTTTGAAGTTCTTCCACAGATTGTTTTATTTCTGTATTCTCCCTCCTTAGTTCTTGCATATTTCTCTACAAGTCCATCAGCATGGTTATGACTTTTGTTTTGAATTCTTTTTCAGGAAGATTGGTTAAATCTACCTCCCCAGATTCCTTCTCACGAGAGGATGTCGAAGGTGCCTGAGTTAGCCTGGTCTAGATCAAATTTTTTTGCCTTTTCATGTTGATAGCTGCAGTGGTATGCTATTGACTCATCTGTCAGCTGGGAGAGCCAAGACCTTTTCCACTTGCTCCTGGCCTTTCTTTACTGGGAAAATGGTGATGCTTAGCAGCTTGTGTTGGGCAATTGTGCATAGACTGGGTCTGTTTCTTGCCCAGCCGCTATGGAGGAAGCTCCCTTGCTGTGGGCATGGCCTGCCTTAGGCTCCTGCTCTGCTATGGCAGGGCACTGGAGTGGGAACAGATGGGGGGCTGTTTATCACCGTGAGGGGTCTCAGAGCTGCTGCCCAGGGGTTTAGGGTGCCCAGAGTTCCCCTGGATTCCCAGCTGCTGGGCTATGTGTCCTGGGACGCTTCCATCCAGTTGTGGGGTCCCTGTCCCTTTAAGACTTTCAAAAAGCACTTGCCTTCCTTTGTCCCAGGGGCGCTGGCTGCGGGGACCCGCTCACAGGTCTTACTGTCCTGTTTCCGTAGTATCCAGCACCCCACGCCTGGGTGCAGATGGCTAGGGCTGCCTATTTAGCAGTCCTGGGCTCCCTCTCCCTACCCTCTCCAACTCCTCTCCTCCCGCTGGGAGCTGGGGTAAGGGGCGCTCGGGTCCCACTGGGCTGCAGCTTGTATCTTACCCCTTTCACCAGGCACTGGGTTCTCACAGGTGTGGATGTGGTCTGGCTATTGTCCTGTATCTTCTGGTCTCTCTTTTAGGGATAGTTGTATTTGTTGTATTTTCAAAAATATATATATTTTTGGGAGGAGATTCCACTGTTCTACTCACGCCGCCATCTTGGCTCTGTCTCCCCACTCTGTTTATATAGTACTTTTATTAGAGAGTGCGATCTTAAAGGTAAAAGATCTAGAGAAAAAAGTATATACAATAAACTTAGTATATGTATTTACTGATGAAGAAAATGGTAGAGTTTCTGGGGGATAAGAAAGGGATTTATTTAGCCAATACAGGAAATGGATGTTGTAAAAGTTATGAAATAATATTGACCATGTTCAAATTGATCAATTATCTCTGATCTTTCTCACATACCCTTATCATCATGTACTGAGATTTTTTTCCCCTTAAACATAAAAGGAAAAAGGTTTTATCAAATGCCCTATGGAGGGAACTCAATACTTTACTTGGATGCTGGAGTATCTGCTGACTTACCTGTTGTTAGTAAAAAGCTGGTATGCATGTTAGTCTCAAAAATTCCTAAGTTCTCATTTCATTTAAGGGCTAGGAGAATGGAGGAAGGAGAAAAATAACCTATTAGTGAGAGTAAGTACTTACCCACTTGATAAATGAGTTTCTTTCTTTCACAAAGGTACCTCCCTCTGCAGGATATCATGTGTATGGAATGTCTTTCCCAGAAGCTAAAGGAAGCAGTAACCCTCTATCTCAGAGTCGTGAAGGTTGTGGATCTCTGTGCAGGGTGGCGGTGGGAATTTGTGCCAAGTGGTAAGTGGGTTCAGCCTGCAAGGTGCAGTGGAGCCTATTGGAAACTTAATAATGTTCCCAAAGCAGCAGCCGACTCACAGCCTCCAGGAAGGGACTGGCAGTTACCAGAGGGGAGGGGTGGGGGAGGGTGAAGGGGATTGTGGGGTGTCATGATTGGTGCACATGGTGTGTGTGTGCGTCATGGGGAAGACAGTGTAGCTCAGAGAAGACAAGTAGTGACTCTGTGGCATCTTACTACACTGAATGGGTAGTGACTGCAATGGGGCATGGGTGGGGACATGATAATATGGGCAAATGTAGTAACCACAATGTTGTTTCATGTGAAACCTTCACAAGAGTGCATATCAATAATACCTTAAAAAAAACATAATAATGTTCCCAGTGTTACTTGTTTTGAGATAGGTGATAGAGTCACCTTGTAGGTGGGGAAGCAGGATTTTACCTAAATTATTTACGTTGCTTTGGTTGATAAAATGCATTTTGCCTGAGGTTTTACTGTTTTAGCGGTCTGTTGTTTTTATTTCTAATTCCTTAAGGAACTACATCAGCTTATTTTACAAATACATGATTGGAAAATACTTATTGAGCCTTTGATTAAATACATGTCTAACACATTAGACAATACCCTTTGTTTTACAGTGCAGGCTTTCATAGCTTTCCTGTACCCTTTAATGGCGCTCTTGGTTAAATAAGTGTTGATCTTTTTTTGTAAGCTGCTTTGGTAGGCTGCAGAAATTGCACTACTGGACCTTTCATTTCTGTAGCACTTTGAAAAGACCTAGCTCTTGACGATTCTCAAATTAAGTCATTGGCCTTAAAAGTAAAGACCTCAGAGTTAATGGCCTAACTACAACAGAGGACCTCAGATAAAGAGACAGTTAGGAAAGAAAGTTGATAACTTGAGTTAAGCAGATCATACTTGAAAGAGAAGAATTAAAATTGAGGGCCAAAGTTTCTTTTCATTTAACACAAATTCATTGATTAGTATCCTTGAGTTATTGTTGTTTAGCAACTTTAAATGTCTTTCTAACCACCTTTCATCAACAATATCCAGATTCTGGTATTTTGAAGATGTGATGAGTGTGGGGGAGGTGCTTCAGAGATGTGAGGAGCTGAAGAGATGATTGTCCTGTTCTGTCGTGTGAGGAACAGGACAGACCACCTCTGGGATACTGAAAATTTGTACAGTTTGGGGTGTTACATTCTTCCAAAAGGGTCATCAGTCAATGGATAACTATTATAATTCAATCAGAGTTAGTTATCAGTATATACCTTTTTGTGAAGAACTCTACAAAGACCTGAGAAAGGAAGGGAGCCTGGTGGAAGACAAGCCACAGTGGTCTTCAAATAGTCCAGAGGAAGCAGCCCAAGGGGAAAGGAGTCATCTTACTCCAGAGAGTGATCATTTAAAGCAGGGAAGAAAAAAAATTAGGGCAGTGTGAGAGGACTGTCATTGCTTGTGCTTGACTTGCTTTAGCAGAGGGTGATCGGGCAGGAAGTCTGGGGTGGTGGCCTGTCTGAAGAGGCAGAATAGCAGAGCCCCCA